TCAATGCCCGATCATGCATTTTCCAAATCTTGAATTCATCATTTTCAATTGTCGAAGGCACATCGCTTGAAGAAATAAAGGAATCTGCAGAGTTGGATACCACAAAGCGAGTTGGACACGAATGCGACCCATCCACAAAAACCATGAGACCATAGCCTTCAAGAAGCAACTCGATTTGAAAATTCCAAGTGAGATAATTGGAATCGTCAAGCTTAACAGTCATAGAAGATAAAACTGTTGATATAAGAGACGTTATAGGAGATTGAAGAATTTGCAACTGTGCAGAAGTCACCATTGTAGCAAATCAGGAGAAAACCCCAAATGAAAATTTCTCTGAGAACTTAGAACAAACACTTGGTGTGCAGAGAAGAGAAGGCACCTAGTCGAGGAAGCAGAGAACGATCAAGATCCCAAGAAGAAGAGGAACGACCGTCAATGGAAGCAGTTGAGAGGAAACAGAAGAAACAAGATCAAAAAACCGTCAAGCACGAAGCTTTTCAGGCGAAAGATACCATGTAAACAGAAAGAAGCACAATATTCTTGCATAGAAAGAAAGAACAGTTGTAGAGAGAGAAAGTATTTCTTTTGAATTGAATGAATTACTAGAGATAATTCCTTTACAGTTATATGTTGTATATATCTGATTACATTGCTTAGTTCCTAAGCTATTATAAGACTCACAAGATCTTGACACTTGTCATAATCTTTACTTCACATAATCTAAACAAACTTAACCACCTCACACATATAATATCTATCATATAGAACACCAACGCGAAAGGCTACACATCTCACTTTTCTTCTTTCTCTGTGTTCTAAAGAAACAAATATATGGCCCTAAAAACAGAACTCATGAGTAATCATTTCTAAACAACAATGGGCCGGGGTTGGGCTAATAATAAAGGTCAGGGACTAGGTTTGAAACCAACAAATGAGTTCCACTTCTGTTTTAATTGAAATTTTCTGTTGGTTTACAATTAAACGACATGCTATCATGTTCAAAAATTAACTTATCTTTTACATTTTTCGAAAATAATAGGAAGTTGGTTTGATGGACGTTCTTAACTTATCATAAATGATAGACTTTTTTAGTTTCGTTTTATTCTTAAAACATTTAGCTTAAGTGCTCGTTTTGAAATGTTTTTGTCTAAACGATTTTAGTCATTAAAGATTTTATTATCTTATAATTCACTCCAAGGAGAACGACTTCCATGAGCTTCTTCGTAAGTGATTTTTTCTTTTAACATTTGGAAGTGGCATGCCCTTAATCACACCCTTACAAGCTCTAAGTCAATAAACATTTGTAACGATTAAGTGCATGCAAATCCTTTAAGTTATGTTCATACCCTTTAGCTGTGAGTACTCCAAATACAAGACCTTATAGGATAATCGAGGGCTAGTTTCCCTCTAATCGTTTGTACCGGGGGAAGGGTAGGATGTAGCAGTTATATGAGTTGGCCTTGATGTGTAGTTCTTTTCACCCAATGCTTATGCCTATTTCAGAATAAATTTAAGAAAGAAAAAACTTTCTGTTTAATCTCGATGTGCATCGTCCTAAAGTCATAAAATAAACCTGCCTATGTTATTTTATACTATTGATGTTAGTGTTTGTGTGTGTTTTCAGTATGTATTTCAATGGAGGTGGTCTTCAAAGATGGAGAGAGTTACAGAGAGAAGAAGCTGCAAAAAATGACTCTTCAAATTTCATTCATAATTCTGCAAAATACAAGCTAACCGTTATGTTGAAGAAAGGAAGGGAGATCCTTCACTCTTCAACATACAACACAATCTTAGCCATTCATTGCTATCATCCTAAGAGATGATGCCACTTGGCTTATTCTACTACTTAGGCTAGACACAAGATTAAAAAGCCATGTGGACTATGATCCAAAGGCTCACATTCAAACTGAAACAAAACAGAGAAACATAGTTCTTGTTACCAAGTGTCAGCTAAAGGATTATACACCAACACTCCCTTCTAATCCTTTGGCTGATTTAACTCCAAGTAGCTCCCTTAGATACACAAATCGATCTTTAGGTAAAGCCTTAGTCAGTATATCTGCAATCTGCTCCTCTGTCCTGCAGTACACTAACTCAATCTCTTTGGCTTGAATTGCTTCTTGGATGAAGTGGAACTTCCTGTTGATGTGTCTTGTCTTTTGATGAAAGACTGGATTCTTTGCCATAGCAATAGCTGATGTATTATCACACAAGATCTGAGTTCCTTCCACTTGTTCTTCTCCAAAGTCTTCTAGAACAAATCTCAGCCACTTTGCTTGTGATGTAGCCTCTGCTGCACTAACATATTCTGCTTCTGCAGTAGACAGTGCCACAGTGTTTTGTTTGATTGAAGCCCATGAGAACATACCCGATCCTAGTGTGAATGCATACCCTGAAGTACTTCTCATATCATCCTCACTTCCAGCCCAATCACTATCACAGTAGCCGATTAGAGTAGTAGCTTTTCCCCTTTCAAAGACAATACCAAAATCGATTGTTCCCTGGATGTATCTTAGTACCCTCTTAGCTGTTCCCATATGTTTCTTAGTGGGATTATGCATGAACCTTGCCAACATACTTGCTGCAAACATCACATCAGGCCTAGTTGCAGTTAAATAGAGCAGACTTCCAACAAGCTGCCTATATTCTCCTTCATCCGCAGGTTCACTTCCATCAACTTTACTCAACCTCTCATTCATTGCAAGTGGAGTAGCAACTGACTTGCATTCTTTCAGACCAAACTTCTCAATTAGTTTCTGTGCATATTTCTTTTGGTGTATAAAAATGCTGTTCTCAGTTTGCAGCACACCCATTCCAAGAAAATGATGTAATAAGCCCAAGTCAGTCATCTCATAGTGTTTCATCATGTCATTCCTGAATTCTTCAAGCATTTGTGGACTGCTACCAGTATATACAATGTCATCTACATATAGAGAGACAATAATGATACCTGAGTCCTTACTTGTCTTAACATACAAAGTTGCTTCACTTGAACTCTTTTCAAACCCTGCATTATTGAAGTATGCATTAATCTCATCATACCAGGCTCTTGGTGCTTGTTTCAAGCCATATAGAGCCTTGTTCAACTTGTACACCTTTGTTTCTTCACTTTCCTTCACAAAACCTTGAGGTTGCTCAACATACACTTCTTCTTTCAGTACCCCATTGAGAAATGCAGACTTTACATCTAATTGATACAAGTTCCATTTCTTCTGTGCAGCAAGGGCAATTAAGGTCCTAATTGTATCCAACCTTGCCACAGGGGCAAAGGTTTCATTATAGTCGATTCCGGGCTTTTGTGAGTAGCCTTTAGCCACCAACCGAGCTTTATTCTTCTGCACCGTGCCATCCAAATTAAGTTTGGTCTTATAGACCCATCTAACACCAATAACAGGCTTGTCATATGGTCTCTCAACAAGCTGCCATGTGTTGTTCTTCTCAATCATGTCCAATTCAGTTTTCATTGCACTCCTCCATGAATCATCTTTGACTGCATCCTCATAACTTTCTGGTTCAATAACACACATGTTGCATTGAGGCATGATTTCATTGATACTTCTCCATTTCTTCGGTGTATCATCATAAGTTGGAGATCTCTCAAGCATATTCTCACTTTGAGAAACATTGTATTCTTCAAACTGAGGATCTTCATCAATCTCACAGATTTCATTAGCATTCTTATGTTCAGTGACTACTGGAAATGTCACTCCAGTATCTATATTGCAGTTCCAATCCCAAGATTTACTCTCATCAAATGTGACATCCCTTGAGAGAACAATCTTCCTTGAAATGGGATCAAACAATCTGTAGCCCTTCTCACTTGAACCATATCCTACAAAGATACACTTGTGACTGTTTTCTTCCAACTTATGTCGGAGATTGGAAGGGATATGCACATAGCACAGTGAGCCAAATATCTTCAAATGAGCTATTCTAGGTTTTCTACCACTGTAAGCTTCAAATGGGGTTGACTTCTTCAAAGTTTTGGTAGGACACCGATTGATCAAATAGACTGCAGTGTTCACTGCCTCTGCCCAAAATGCATATGGAAGGTTTTTCTCATGTAGCATTGACTTTGCCATCTCCACCACAGTCCTATTCTTTCTTTCGGACACTCCATTCTGTTGAGGAGTGTAGGCCATAGTCAACTGTCTCTGAATTCCTTGATCATTGCAGTATTTGTCAAACTCTGCAGAAAGGAATTCTCCCCCTCGATCACTCCTAAGACATTTAACCCTATATCCACATTGTAACTCAGTCATTGCCTTGAACCTTTTGAAACATTCAAATGCATCAGACTTGTTTCTCAGAAAATACACCCATGACATCCTTGTGCAGTCATCAGTAAACAGCAAAAAATATTTGTTTCCAGAATGAGACTCTACTTGCATTGGACCACAGAGATCTGTATGAATCAACTCCAGTGGATCTTTAGCTCTCCAAGTTGAATGAGAAGGGAATGAGTCTCTGTGTTGTTTACCCAACATGCAGCCTTCACATACACTTTGGGACATTTCTAGTTTAGGTAATCCATGCACCAACTCCTGTTCTTCAAGTACCTTGAGACTTCTCTCATTCAAATGACCCAATCTCTTATGCCATATCCGAGCACAATGAGTGATACCTGCCCTTAGTGCATACTGTGTTGCAGGCAACATTGTCAAAGGAAAACATCGATTGTTGGTCATATGTACCCTCACTACTAAATTATCCAGTGACCATCCATAAAAAATATTCACTACATTACCTCCAAACAGCAAATAATAACCATTTTCCATCATTTGCCCTACACTTAGAAGATTCTCCTCAAGTCCGGGAACAAGCATTACTTCTTGTATATGTTTTCTTCCCAATTTAGTTTCAATCACCAAAGTTCCCTTTCCTGCCACTTCACAGATTTCTCCAGTTCCCATCTTCACTTTGGATGTCAAACCTCTCTGAATATTGACCAATAATCTATCATCTCCTGTCATGTGGTTACTACAACCACTATCAATGTACTATGAGTTATTGACTTTCACATCAGTCACTGCATTGCAGGCATAAAACAGTGATCCTGTTTCTCCCATTTGCTTCACATAATTAACTTTCTGCACGCCCCTATTCTCATGACAATCTCTCATGGAATGACCTGGCTTACCACAGCCTGTGCACTTTGGTTTACCTTCATACCAACACTTCCCATAGTGCAACCTGTCACACCACTTACAATCACCCTGAGCATTGTTTTGCTTCTGAACATAATTAGGCCTATGATCCCAATTCCTTTGAATAATGTTCTGTCTCTGAGGATAATTTGGTTTGTGATCCCAATTCCTTTGAGTATTGTTCTGTCTCTGAGGAAGGTTTGATTTATGATCCCAATTCTTTCCCCTTGATTTCCAACTCTCTTGAGACCTTTGATTCCCAGAAAATCCACCACTTTTGACACCCTTAGATGCTACATTTAGACTTGTAAATGCCCTCTCAGTCGAAGACTCAGTATGTAGATCAAGCCTCTGTTCAAATCCTTTTAGAGAAGCTACAACCTCTTGGACCTCAATAGTTTCAAGATCTCTAGAGTGCTCAATTACAGAACAAATTGCATCATATGTTTTCGGAAGACTAATAAGTAATTTCTGCACAATTCTCTCCCTAGATAGTTCTTCTCCATAACTTTTCATCTGATTAATAATATCAAACAATCTAGAGAGATACACAGATAATGATTCACTGTCCTTCATACGAGTATATTCAAAATCTCTACGTAAACCTTGCAATTTTACATTTCTTACTTGTTTATCTCCTCGGAATTCGCCCTTTAGAGCATCCCAAGCTCCTTTGGATGTTTCTTCATTCACGATTCTGGGAAAAATCTGATCCGATACTGCACCTTGTATCATTCCAAGCGCAGCATCCTTCATCAAGATCTCACTGAACGACACTCCATCCGGCATCTCCTTCTTCGTCTCATCGACCACAGCTTTCTCAGACTTCGGATCTGGTGGTACAAACCCATTTTCTACCAGCTCCCACAAACCATACGATTTCAGTATAGTTATCATACGAATCCTCCAAAATTCATAGTTCTCTCCATTGAAGACCGGAGCTCTAAGCTCGACATTTCCGGACCCAGCCATATGAGACTTGGATACACGAAATCACAGTTTTCAGGTTCGATTGAAGCTCAAAGATGTAGCTCAATCGCACAGATTTCACGCCCAGATTAGACGATGAAACCAGGCTCTGAGGCCATGTTAGTGTTTGTGTGTGTTTTCAGTATGTATTTCAATGGAGGTGGTCTTCAAAGATGGAGAGAGTTACAGAGAGAAGAAGCTGCAAAAAATGACTCTTCAAATTTCATTCATAATTCTGCAAAATACAAGCTAACCGTTATGTTGAAGAAAGGAAGGGGGATCCTTCACTCTTCAACATACAACACAATCTTAGCCATTCATTGCTATCATCCTATGAGATGATGCCACTTGGCTTATTCTACTACTTAGGCTAGACACAAGATTAAAAAGCCATGTGGACTATGATCCAAAGGCTCACATTCAAACTGAAACAAAACAGAGAAACATAGTTCTTGCTACCAAGTGTCAGCTAAAGGATTATACACCAACAATTGAGTGGGATAATATTGATTAATTCTCCCACATTACAATTAGTCAGATTTATAATTCAAGGAACTATCCAATAAAATTTCCACCCAGAGAAAGGAAAAAGAATGGCTTCTTCAGTTCTTTGTTCACTTTTTCCCCAGAAAGAAGAACTCACATCTGGAAGCAAACCGAGTCAGGTTCGCAGGTAACTGACTACGTTAAAAGACCACCATTGATATCTTTGAATTAATTGGATTCAACCAATACCTCTCCGGGCAGTTGAGCTACTTCACAAAAGTTAATTCCACTTAATTAGACCTAGCTACCATAAACTTTCGATCAAGGCATGCAAAAACAAATACTGGGTGGGTGTACGCAGTTGAATAAATAGGACAATATATGTAAGATCCAAAATTCATACCATTAATAAACATTTCAACTTTACGTGATGTCTTTATATATTCCTCAAATTTCAATAATAGTTATTGTTCTCATGCATGGGTCCATGACTTTGAGATTTGTAACTTCGACTGTGCAACAAGGAAGCGACTAATTAGGGTTTTAACTACTGATCAAAAAAGGGAAATTGTGTGTATGAAGAGCTTTGAATCTTTACATGATGAGTAGGTGAAAATTTATGTTGTTCAATTAAAAATGTATGTATAGGTCTGTTTTTGTGCACAAAGAACGTTAGCTAGGCCACTAGGCCTTAGTGTTTAGGCTTATTTAAAGGTGATTAGCTAGTGTGGTTTTGGTAATTAGTTTGAAGAACACCCCCAGATCGTCATAGATATATTTCAAAATTAATAGTATAATCTCTGGGTATATTAGAGATCACAATGTGTATTAGATTCTTTGGAGCTTATCTTCTTGCTGGAATTCTCTTGTTGCTTCCCATTTGTTATTCTGATAAAGGTATGAATATTGTACACATTAATTGTTACAAAATTAAATAAATGCATCACCAATACGATTAATCGTTATTTTTTACTATAAGTCTGTGTACAGCTCCGGACTATACATTTGTTAGAGAAGCAAAATCAGCCCCAGCAGTGGTTCACTTTGACTACATAGTCGGGATGTCCATTAGCCGCCACTCTCTCTCACGGTGCCAGTTTTTTAGTCCTGGAAAGAGGCGGCTCGCCTTACGGCAATCCGAACATAATCAACATTGAAAATTTTGCCCCCACTCTTTTGGACACCTCTCCCACATCCCCAGGCCAGCACTTCACCTCCGAGGATCGCGTCTTTAACATCTGCACACGCGTGCTGGGTGGCGGCTCAGTATTGAACGCCAGGTTCTACAAGCGCGCCAGCACACATTACATCAGGGAAGTAGGTTGGAACCAGGGAATGGTCGATCAGTCGTATGAATGGGTTGAGAAAGTGGTGGCTTTTGAACCGGAGATTTTGCAGTGGGAGAGTGCTTTCAGAGATGGTTTGTATTGAGTTTCAAGGATTGAATTGTATTTCACTCATAAGTTCTTTTACAATTGTACAGCAATATATAAGAGGATTAACCTCTTGCTTTACGCCACAACAGGTTGCTTAGGAAAAATAAATAACAGCCCCTTAAATTAAGGGAGTTGACAACTTGCTTTACACCACAACAAGTGGCTTAGGAAAAATAAATAACAGCCCCTTAAATTAAGGGAGTTGACAACTTAGATTAAGAAGTTGACACCCTTGAAGTAAGGAAGTTGTCTGGCTTAGGGAAAATAAATAACAGCCCCTTGAATTAAGGACCATAAGCTTCCCTTAATATTCAGAAACCGACTTCCAATACTCCCCATCAAGCTGGATCCAGAAGGTTTATGGATCCAAGCTTGGACAGAAGCCATTGAAACTGATGAGAAGCCAAGGGCTTGGTGAAAATGTCGGCCAATTGGTCGAAGCTTCGTGTATACCGTGTCTGAATTACCTGCGACTGCACATGTGCCCGAACGAAATGACAGTCAACCTCAATGTGTTTCGTTCTCTCGTGAAACACAGGATTAGATGCTATATGCATGGCTGCTTGATTGTCACAGAATAAGGACATAGGAAGAGTTGCAGAAAACCCTAAATCACACAGAAGACCCTTGAGCCAGATCAACTCACACGCAGTGGAAGCCATTGCACGGTACTCAGCTTCAGCACTGGATCTGGCGATAACAATTTGCTTTTTACTTTTCCAGGTGACCAAGTTTCCACCGACAAATGTACAGTGGCCGGAGGTGGACTTACGATCGATTGCATTGCCTGCCCAATCAGCATCACAATACCCTACGACTTGAGTGTTGTCATTCTTCCGCATGATGATACCACGACCCACTGAACCTTTTAAGTAGCGTAAGATCCGTTTAACCAGAGTCAAATGTTCAAGAGTTGGGGAGTGCATGAATTGGCTCACAAGACTTACAGAATAGGTGATGTCGGGTCTAGTGATTGTGAGGTAGATCAATTTTCCAACCAATAGCTGATAATGGGTGATATCAGTGAGTGGCGTGCCCTTCAAGCTAGGTTTTTGCTTACTGTCAAGTGGAGTGGTGGCTGGTTTAGCATCGCTCATGTTAGTGTCCTTGAGCAGATCCAAGATATACTTTCTTTGGTTAAGAAACAGTCCTATGTGTGAGGTTGCCACTTCTATACCAAGAAGGTACTTCAATATCCCAAGGTCTTTAATTGCAAATCTTTGTCTGAGAGACTGTTTAAGAGTGGAGATCTCGTCAGTATTATCACCAGTAATTATCAAATCATCAACATAAATCAGCACAACTAATGTGCCCACAGCTCCTGTGCGAATAAATAATAAGGAATCAGTGTTGCTGCTTTTGAAACCAACACTAGTGAGAACTAAGCTTAGTTTGGCATACCAAGCTTGTGGGGATTGCTTTAGGCCATAAATGGCTTTGTGCAATCTGCACACCACATTCGGTTCATTGCTTTGTGGATGCCCTGGTGGCAATTTCATATAGACTTCTTCTTTGAGATCACCATGCAAGAATGCGTTCTTCACGTCCATTTGGTACATGGACCATCATTTGTTTACAGCTACAGACAATAACACTCTTACTGTGTTCATTTTGGCCACAGGTGCAAACGTTTCTTTGTAATCCACCTCGAATGTTTGAGTGAATCCCCGAGCCACCAGTCTTGCTTTATGTCTCTTAATTGAAACATCTGACTTGAATTTGAGTTTATAAATCCATTTACAACCCACTGATTTCTTGCCTGTTGGAAGTTTTGTGATGCTCCAGGTATTGTGTTGATTTAGAGCTTTAAGTTCTTCTTGCATTGCCTCTTTCCACACCTCTTGGTTGTTGGCCTCGTGGAAATTCTAAGGCTTATGGTAACTGGATATAGTACTTAGGAATGCAGCATGATCCGATGTCACTCTCTTGTATGACACACAATTGGAGATAGGATGTGTGGGTTTGTACATGACAAAATCCTGAAGTCTTGTGGGAGTTTTTCTAACACGCATTGGATTGCGTCGAGGAGCTGGAAAAGTTGTTTCACACTCGTTCGCATCATCTTAATTGTCACAATTGTCATGCAGTGTATCCTCAGAGTGAGACCCTTCATTGCTATCTTCATTAGGAGAAGCATCAACGTTGACATAACTAAGCTCGCATTGTTGTGGTCCTTCCAGTTCAATTCTTGGTAGTGGGAACACATCCAAGATGCCATCCCTTTGGGCTATGATTTCACTTGACTTGCTGAAAAAGGGTTAGTTTCATGAAATCGCACATCTTTGGACACAATCAACCTCCTTAGTTGGGGATTATAACACTTATATCCCTTTTGTGTAGAGGAATAACCAAGAAAAATACATTTGGCAGCTCTAGGATCTAATTTATCTCGGTGAAGAGATTGAACATGCACAAAACGGATGCAGCTAAACACTCTAAGATGTGAGAGGTCAATTTTCCTTCCTTTCATGACCTCGAGTGGAGACTTGAATTCCAAGACTCGGCTGGGTAATCTATTGATGATATATGCAGCTGCCATAACGCCTTGAGACCAAAATCTCTTTGGTACATTCATTTGTAGCATTAGTGCTCTTGTTTTTTCAAGTAGGTCACGGTTTTTGTGTTCGGATACACCATTTTGTTGAGGTGTTCCAACACAACTTGTTTGATGCATGATGCCATTAGTGCTCAAATATTGTTGCATGATATGGGACATATATTCGGTGCCATTGTCAGACTTTAAGGTTTGAATTTGAGAGGAGAAATGGTTTTTAACAAGGTTATGAAAGTCCTTAAAAACTTTCATAACTTCATTCTTAGACTTTAAGAGATATAACCATGTGACTCGAGAGAAGTCATCCACAAAAATCACAAAATACTTATAGCCATCAAATGATTCACTAGTTGGTCCCCATACATCTGAATGAACTAGTTCAAAACACTTACTAGTTCTAGACAAGGAAGACTTAAAAGGTAGTCGAGTGGATTTAGACAAGTGGCATGTTTCACATGAAATAGCATCCTTTCCCAAGTTTGGAAATAGAGTTGACAAAATGGGTGAAGAATGATGAGCTAAACGTT